TAAGATGTTTTAAAGTCAATATTCGAAGCTACAAAATTTCATTAAATATTCTACAAACAGGTATGTTCCTCAATAAAATTGTTTCTAAATTACAAAATAAAATTTATTTAGAGCCAAAAGCACGCGTGCGTAGCATGACGACCTCGAGAGACTCGAAAAACGGGTCGAAAAACAAAAATAAATTGAATTCGATTTTAAGCTTTAACTTCCTGAACAATAAGTTCTTTGTTAAAACCTGTCTAAGTCGCATGATAAATCTAGAAACTCCCGAAACGAGTAATAGCGAGACGTAGAGTGTGATATTGTACAGGCAAAACTTACTCATGTCCCGTTTCTCGAGCTTATCTCCAGTCGCATATGTCCATTATGCTACGCGGTCTGATGTTATAGTATTGGTACTTGTATTAGTGGGATTGAATTATTTATCTAATTATGAAGAAAAAAATACTGCTTAAAACAGTCTAGGATTATGTATTCCTAAAATAAATACTACTTAACTACGAAAACTTTTTTTTTTAAATAAGTAAATACAGAGTTATATTTGGCCGGAAGTAATCAGTTAGGTGACTATTATTTAATTCTACGAGTATAGGTATTTATAATATTTTTAAGACTTTATATATATTATAAACATTTTTTCAAAATATAATTAGCCTTACACTCGCGTACAAAAATATTCAGAAAGCTTTCTAGCTAAAATATTTATAAAATCTAAACAAGTTATTTTATTGTTTTTTTTTCTATACATAAAACATTTCATGTGTGTACGTTATTCAGGCATACATAAGTATAACGATACAATAATAATTATATGTACATACAAATTTATTGTGTTTGTCACAGTTACTTTGCTATTTTGGTCCAAATAAGGACGATTTGTTAAGAGAGATGTAACTCATATATTTTAGGCTTACCTTGATATGCGAGTTTTATTACGCACTCATCATATTCATTTATGACATAAAATGACACATTTCAACTCAACGGAAGCGGATTGCAATGAGAAAGTATAAAAAAACATTAGTTCCCGAAATCAAAGTAGATGTCGCTACTGTACTTTCTTGATTTCTCCATGACAACCCTTCCGGTTTTCTTTCATGAATAAAACTAAATTAGTTTTCAAAACTCGATAAACAACTCATATTCTATACGTACTTTTTTGTATTTGAATTAATATCAAAGCTTCGAACTTTGCAAATTTCAAAGGAACGGAAATGACTATCTTTGATCCATCCGTTTCCTGCAAAAATCAAATTTTGCTAGAGTCGCCATGGAGGTGCTTTTTTAGTGCTTTCTTTTTTTAAATACTTTCTCATTCAACAGGTAATATATAAACATCAAATGTCTGGTAGTAAAAGAACATGAAATTTTTTTGTCGCTTTGTGATTATGGTATAGTGTCATTTATTTTAGTTAGATATTGGCTCTGTGTCATTACTGTTTAATTTTAAAATGTAAATAAAAATAGCCACGTCTTAGAACGAATCCGCTTCCGATAGTTTTGTAAGTAATTAAGTAGGCAGTTGTACTGGCACGACAGTTAACTTTTTTCGGGCCATTAGACAATAAATCTAGAACTAAGTCAATCCGTGATCTTGATCACATTGATGCCAGATTGTAATGGATCTCATTTTATCCAGATAATTTGATTTTGTCATCCGCAACTTTGGCCTGATGATGATCCAGAGAAATCATCTAATGGCCGGCTATGTTTTGTGTAAGATATTTTTAGTTTCTACGCTACACTTACTTTTATGCCGGGTATCTATTATACTGCTATGTTATTCTGTAATAAAATTGAAAATTGACCTCGACGTCTAGCACAGCGCTTCAGAGCATTAGATTGAATGGAATAATTCCTTTATTATACCTATTTTGAAGTAGGCATTATTTTATTGAACATTTATACTGTCACAGCGCTGTGCTCGACGTCGAATTCGAGTTTTTTTTTACAAAATAGCAAAGCCATTACCTGATCTCAGGTCTCAATTGTTTCTTGATGCCTCTATCATAAACTGTCCCGTATGGAGACTGGCCAACGTATTATGATATAAATAAGTTATTAAATACATTTAAATATATAAATAGAAAGATATCTAACAACATTAACTAAATATAATTGTTTCTATCTATACATTAAGTACACATCTTTGATTTCTAATTTTTCACTAATTTTATAAAATATCCTACTCTTTTACTTAAATAAATACCTTTGTTTGTATAGGTATAAGTATAACTTTACATAGAGCATTTTTACCTGTAAATAAATTAATTATAACACAAATCAGCATCTACATCAAACCACAATCTGAAGAATCATATGTCTACTTTCCATACATTGATTGACCTGTCACGTGTTTCTTTTTTAAATGTCGCGTCTACCCACTTTTTGTAATAGCTTAAATTAGTTTTTGTTTAAAATATACTAATGGCATTATTTAATTTGGAGACCATGGATATTCATAATCTTTTGAGGTTACAACAACTGTCAAAACTAGAGATAATTGTGAAGCTACTTTAAACAATTTAAACTATTTACTCGTAAATATGGAAATAAACTAAAAATATGATTATGAATGTACACTTTTTAAACTTATAACGAAGGAATATGTTGCCGTAGTAGATGAAACAAAACGTAGAAAACCGTCATTGGGTCTGAATCGGATCGAGGTAGTGTAGAAAACCATCATTTTAAGGTCCGAATCACATTATTATTGTAGTACTATTAAATAATAATCATCAGCCTCGCAATTTTTATCCTGACTTTGTTTTATGATTTAATTTTCTGATGTGAAACAAGTTTGATATATCACTAGACGCTTTAGTAAATTTTTAGGTCGAAATTGGATATGATTGTAGTAAGTAATCATAATTTAGTTAATTACATTGCTCCAAAATGTCAATTTACAGAATATACAAAGTAAATGCTCCAGCGTTAGACTCATAAACAGACATAACATATCGTTAGATTATATTAATAAAAATATATGATATGCTGTAACAATAAACATTTGTGATATGTAACAAACAATTACGAATACATTCAAATGCAGTATCCTATATTCAGTATAGATAGTTAGGGAGTAAACATTTGTGAGAAACAAGTACGTTCACTATCGATTTAGAAACCCACGGCGGATGATCATGTACTAAAAAAACTGGAAAGGAACTGAGCAAGGACTGTATTTTCCTTATTAATACAGAGAGTATTGAAAATTCACCTAATATTCCTCAACAGGAGGAAATTTTTCCATTTACAAAATTTGAAGGAGGTCGTTTTTATATTTTCCTTCCCCTTATGATTGTTGCGGCTGCTTTCGTCTTTCACGTAGAGCCATTCGATTTCATGTATTATCATTATTATATTACCTCCCTTGACAAAGGTCGAAGTGCTCAAATTACATGATTTATACATATAACCAGTGTCTCCATGTGAAACGTGATACTGGAGCGCCGCCTCTGATGGCGTCGTGTTCCGATTCCGGTGATATGCAGCAGGCTAAGCGCTGTGGAACAAATTTAATGAATCACTATTACAATTTCATAACTATAAAAGTCAAAAAATATATATTAATTTAGAATATAATAATGATAAAAGTGGATTCCACTACATTACTTGGAATTGTACGAGACGAAAATTGTAATTGGAAAAATCATATGGATGGCGTTTGTAAAAAAAATGTATTTTCGCTTGGTAGAATCAAGAGAAACGCATCTTTTAATATAGCTCTACAGTCATACCGTGGCTATGTTGCAGCAGTTTTGCGCTATGGCTTAATAATATAGGGGAATAGTGTTGACGTAGAAAGAGCATTTAGAACCCAAAAAAAGTGCATCAGAGCACTGTGTGGAATAAAAAGCTGGGAATCATGTAGGCCTTTATTTAGACAACATAAAATACTAACATTACCATGCATGTATATAACAGAGATGTGCCTCTTTGTAAAACATTACCCCGAATATTTTGTCATACACGAACAAAGAAATAAAAAATAATTTAACCCTCTTTAGTAAAAATGTGTACTGTATGGCTATTAAAGTGTAGAAAAGCTGCCACAAAATATTAGGAAACTTCCATGTGAAAAAATTATATTTAAAAACTTATTATGCCATTGGCTTGAAGAACGAGTATACTTTTCGATTAATGAATACTTGAATGACAAATAACTTCAATAAAAAAATTATTAATATCTTCTGATATTCTATTATTGTATATTTATTTTTAATCTTATAAAACTGACATTAAACATTATAATATTGATTATGTAAGTGACCTATTCTGGTGTTCTTTGATTTATGTATATTGAAAAGTTTGTGTATGTTGATTGTATATGGCATTGTAGAATTTTTATATTTGGATAATATGACGGACTTTGTAATCAAACTTAAATTAAGTATATGACTTTTTTCTTTTTTATAATTAGTGTGACATTAGAAATATAATATTTGCACGCCTACTCTATAAGGCAAAAATATTGTTGAGCATGAAACTTATGTAACAACTGTTCACAATATTTGAACAAATAAATGTTTTGATTTTATTACCATATAACAATGAAATATGCCGTATCTACCTCTTTCTTCATCCTCATCTTGCAATCCTCGCTTTAAGCGACAAGGTCGCCAATTGATACGTTATCCAAGTTACTTTACTTGAAGTTTATGTAAAGTGATAACAGTGACAAAAAAGAATGATCAATCTATCCATCAAAAAGCGCTTCAGTAACATCTCTACAACAATCGATGGCAAAAATGACTAAAGATAGCGCACAGATACAGTCTGGACCGCGCTGGAAAAGTTTCTACATTTCTCGCATACTAATAAAAATACAGATACGTCTATATTGACATATTATATCAGCTTTTGATGACTCCTGAAGAATTCCTCCGGGTCTAAAAACGGTCGCTCAACCTCAACCGGAATGATTAACACGGAGAGACGTTCTCGAGGAAGGGAGACGGTCTATCCCTCATTAGGTAACAGGCAGAAATGATATTTATCTACTTGTAATAAACGATAAGTGTTGAGGTGGTGACCTCTCGGCAGGTGCCGGGCGTGGAGCATATCTTGTAGAGCGCGACGCAGGGGATCATGAGTATGGAGGAGCAGGCGAGCGCCCAGCCCAGCGCCGCGGCCCACGGCGGGTACGTGTACTGCTGGTACTGCAGCGGCTGCTGGTACAGCAGCCCGAACACCACCACGCCCTGCACACGCACACACACGTCGTACGTCACGGACTCTATCGTCTTACCAATGTTTCTAAAAAGTTGTGACATCATATTTTCATGGTTTACTATGATCGATTGCCCGGTAGACCTATACGCTACACACAATCTTGATCACGCCGTCATATATTTGGTAAACAACTCCCTTGCAGGCTGTTATTTATTAATATTTTAATGCATTATTTAAATTTCCATCGTCCCTAACATTGGAATAATGTTTAAGATTAAGGATGGGAGCGTGGTTTAAACTTCGACAATTTTAATACATTATGCATCTATTTATCTAATTAAATTTGACTTACAATGATAAAGATTGGGCTGACGAACTTCCAACATATCCTCCAGTAGAGACCAGGTCTGAAGCCCAACATTTCTTCGACGTCATCCGAGAACCTTTCTAATCCTAAAAAGACTCATTGTTATTTTTTTAGGATTGTTTTGTATCTCCAAAAATTTTAATAACAGATACTTAAACTACATTAAATTTATTGATATTTTTCATAGAAAAATTAAACAAACAATCGAATTAGTGTAGATATTTGTATTCATACAGAGGTTAGATACAATTTGCGCAAGCCAGTCGTCGGTTGATCAAATTATTATCTCAAGCTGTTATATGCTTCAGAGGGCACGTTAGACCGTTGGCCCAGTACGCGATTGTAGTTTTTAACACAAACCAATCCACACTATACCCTTGTGGTATGTGATTCCGTCCAGGAAGTTATGTGCTGAACGGGGACTTAATAGGCTGATGATGTTGCATACTAACCATAAAACCAAGAAACGGCCAAAGCTTCAAATAGCGCGGAACATAGAAGAGATATACCAGCAGCGTATGTGTCCAACAGGTGAAACATGTAGATACCACCCTGTAAATAAAATACCGAAACTTCATCTGCACTCTATCAATTGAGAGGCTACTGGATATTAACAGTAGACTCTCAATTGATATACAATTGTATACTTCATGTTAGAAAACATATTAATAATTACATTTAACATAGTCATGTACACAATTTTTATACTAGAAACAAAGATAAACTAGTTTTGCCGTCATGCAGGCTAAAGAAGGTTCTATCAACATTTATGGGTCAAGGTATACACTACAACAAAATACCTATTATTGTATTAAATTTTAAACTTACCCTTGCCTAAATTTAAAACCCATATTAAGAATTGTCTACTCAGTAAAGGATATTATACTGTTAATGAATATTTAAGCAACAAAAGTGCTTGGTGTTAAATATGGCTTATTTTTATGTATATTTAATTATATCAGTGAGCTTGTTTGAGTAGACATGTGATTCGATTGACGTAAATACTGTTTTACTTTTATATTTTCTAATATTGTAATGGAAAGTGACTTCATATTTTAATGAAGTCATTTTACAATATTGACGCTCTGTATGAAATAAAACAGCGAGAAAAAAGCAGCCCTTGCCGAGTTTCTTGCCGGTTCTTCTCGGTACAAGGTCTCCCGCCGTAGATTTACGAACCGATAGCGTAGCTGTCGACTTTCACAAGTGCTTGTAATAGCCTAGACTGAATAAATATTTTTCATTTAGATTTTGCACTATTTATTTTTCTAGGATGAGAGTTAAGTATATCTCTTCGATGGCATGAAACAAAAAAAAAACATGTCCGACGCAATCGACTTTAATTAATAGTTATCAAAGTAGGTTTCTAAATCCCACAGTATATCTTTGATCTCAGGGAGTAAATATTGTCAATGGCGTGGGATATTGGTGTTTACGGATGACGGAGCTGCAATATAATATTCACCGGTGTGACGTTAATGCAGGCGACACAGAAGGACACGCAGACCACCAGCAGCGTGAAGTGCTCCCGTCGGAGGTGCTTCGCCCCGCTCGCTCGGGCCGCGTCCAACAGCCCAGTGATTACGCATTCGAGACCACCCATCTGCCATAATAATGATAGTTTTTTTACTAATAAAATGTAATATTGTTTATTTATGGGGTTTAAAACTTATAAATTGCAGAATTCTATATACTTAAAATGCAACTGAAAGAAAACACGTTTTTACAATAACAAAAACATCGTAACAGAATAAATAAATGAGAGATGAACGAAGGTCTCGATAGCGCTATGGGTATATAGCACATTAGGTATGCAATTATGGAGATTATGCAATTAGCAAAAGCTAGCTGTTGGGGAACCAAAAATCATTATTTGCAGCTAATCCAAGCTTCGGACGGCACGTGAGGCCATTGGTATATCGAATCCAAACAAATCTGGGTCCATGTAGTAGATTATGTCCCGTCCTCTTCACTTGTTTCCTTCTATAGGGAAGGCATGTGCTCTGCAGTAGAGAAATTAATAGGCTAACGTTGATTTTACTATCTGATAACTACGAGTAATTCTTTTGTTTTATTTATGATGTGAAAATTTGCTATTAAATCTATATACTTACTCCAGAGTCGAGCCCGAGCATGATTAGCATGAAGAAAAAGAGCATCGCCCATAGACTGGCACCAGGCAACGTGGCCACTGCCTCGGGGTACACTTGAAACACCAGACCAGGTCCTGGAAATAAATCAAATATTAACACATATGTGATATATATCACAACTTGATCCAGCTCTTTATAAGCTGCCCGCAAACCGTGAAGCTTTTTTTTGCATAGGAGCAATGCATTAAGATGTATGGGACTTTCACACACTCATTTCCAAAATGCACCATTATATTACTATAACCAACTTATAGTTAAAGAGTTTTTTGTGACTGTTACTTGTATTAAAAAAAAATCTATGATATATTATATAAAACACCGTTTTACGATATTTAGCAGTATTGCAACAGTGGGTAAATTAGTGGAGCACAGCAAATGTTTAAATGCAATTCGTTTAGTATATTTCAATCTTCTGACGGTCTCGTTACGGGACAATGTCTTGGTAACTTGTCTACGGCTTTCCGGGTATCATGATCCAGATGAGGGAACACTTAAAGAATTTTAGTGATTATGCTTTCAAAGAAAACTACTACATACAGATGGTAGTGCTTAATGCATTTCTCTGACGTTACCCCATTTCATTCGAGCTTTATGCATACCTTCAGTGGCCACCGAGGATATAGGTACTCCTTGCTTGTAAGACATGAATCCCAGGTATGTGAAGATTACAAAACCGGAGAAGAACGACGTGAAGCAATTCACCAGGGTCGTCACTAAACAGTCTCTAAGATCAAATACAAATTATTATTCTCATCAATTATAACTTCATACATTTCATGCGTGGAACAAAAATCATAACGAAGCCGACAACCGACAAAATATGTACCATAAAAAATGACAAGTAGGAAACAACATAAATTTTTTGAAAATAACAAATTACAATTTGCGGCTCGCAATGTAACGCTCACAAACAGAGGTGTACTAAAGTACATGATAACACTGTCAACCGTTAAGGTAGGTACTTATCTATTCTATCTATTGTTCGAAATTAGTTCTGACATAGCTATTCGTAATTTTTTTAAACGCAATATATTATTTTATGTGGTATTTGTAAAACATAATACTTCGTTACACTGAATTCTGTTGTCACTATCAATTTCATTAATTCACAAGGAGTCATTGAACTCCAGTCAATAAGGTCCGTGCACATTACTCTAAGTAGGTTTACTCTCCGGACGATTTATGGTCAATGCTGGCCGTTAATATTTTGAATTTTTACTTTTTCGCGTTGCGAATTCGCGTGTTCGTGTTTTGCTGGTTGATAATCTTTCTTTCTGATCGACACGGGTATAGAGTCAGTATCTTAGAAATGACTTATAAGAGATTTGATATATATAATTTGCTAATAAAATCGAAAGTTTGAAGAATAACACCCAGCATTTCATTGAGCAACCCTAAGCTACATAACATCCCACCATTAGATGGTGGAGTCTCCGGGTATTCCACCATTAGAGAACCCTACAAGCAAACCATGCCACGACTGAAGGAAATCGATCTTTGTACCGTCCATAATTCATTAATCCAGTTGCACAAACGTCCATTAAAAATGTCATTACTTTATAAAGACTTTACCAATAGGAAAGAAATTTTAAACATTCATTGATATTAAAGCTTAAAGATCCTTTATGCAATTGAGGGTTGAAGTGCCTAATTTGTTACAAGAACGTGATCAGATGACAGAATTTAGTTTTGGATAATACTGCCTACGAGGAGGGCACAGCTGTATGCAACATACATCGTGAGTTATGATTTTAAGGCTTTATTAATGAATAACTACTGTTTTTTTTTTTTGTATTGTTTATTTGAAATTTCATAATAACATTTTAAAGAGTTTTTCATAAAAAAGTGTTTTTTTTTTGTTTTCACTTTGATGTCCAATAAATGGTTTCACAGGATTATTCTAGAATAAAAGTTGTCAGTATTGATGACCCCAACACGTATCTTTCGGCTTTGTTATGACTTTTGTTTCACTGTTATACTAAATACAAAACACTGATTGGCAGTCGAAATCAATACTCTAAGCTCTAAATCATATACATTGAAGTAAGTCTTAAATGTAGATATTTTAGTTTCGTTCTAATTAAGCTTAAGATAATTATAACAATGATAATAAATGTAACCTGTAACAATTATTGTGGAAGGTGTTATAGCTGGCGTACGACAGGTGCACCCCGAAACCAGCACCGACCGAGTAGAAGATCTGGACTGCAGCGTCCACCCACACCTTATCAAGAGATACAATATCAAAAAACCAATATCCAATACTACAAAAAACATTAAAAAAATCAGTCTTCAAATTTAAAAAATGTGACAAATAATACTTATCCCAAAAGCAACTTATTCAAGAAAATGCAATTTAATTCAGAGGTCTTTTGTAAGTTAATAATTTAAATGATAGGCGCTCGACTTTAATACAATTTTCTTGAATAAGTCGCTTTTGACATAAGTATTATTTAGGTATCACTTTTTTAAAGTTTGAAATCGGTTCTTTTTAAACCTCGTGATCGGTTCTATTTACAAAAAAATACATATTGATATTTTTTTTATATAATAAATAACACAAAAAATATTAAATGTCTATAAAAATATTCAATATAATGAAAAACAAGAAGATGTTGTTTATTTGCTCGACGTAATTTTTCTCATTAATAAGGAAGTATTTATGAAATGAGAAAGCAATAAAAAAGGACCTCACTAGATGGCGACTCTACCATAATTTGATTTTGTGCAGGAAACGAAAGGACCACATATAGCCATTACATTTAAAAAATCTGAAATTTGTAAAGTTCGGGATTTAGATATCAATAAAAATACAAAAAAGTATAAATAGAATATGAGTTGTTTATTGAGTTTTGAAATTATTTTACTTTCTTACATGAAAGTAAACCGGAAAGGTTGTCATGGAGAAATCAAGAAAGTACCGTAGCAGCTACTAATTTGATTTCGGGAACTAATATTATTTTTCTATGTATACTCATATTATAAAAGAGGAAAGAATTGCTTGCTTGTTTGTTTGCATTGGATAGGCTCCGAAACTATTGGACCGATTTATAAAAGTATTTCACCAACGGGAAGTTACGCGTTGGACATAGCCTATAATTTACGCAGGCAAAGACGCGGGGAAACAGCTAGTTTGATAAAAATTGGTTCACAATTCAAGAAGATATGGATTAAAATACCTACTTTATTCAAAATACACAATCTTTTGTTTTTTAGCTAAAATACATGAAATACAATACACATCATCAAAATATTTAGGTGCTATCTGGTAAAAAGCGTATTTTTTTGCGTATAAAAAGAAAACCACTCATTCGATATTGATAAAATTTAAATGAAACCATCTCGGTCCACTAAACTATTGAATAAAAAATGAATTTTGAAAATCGGCCAACAATTGGAGGAAATACCGATGAACATACATAAAAAAACATATATTGCCGTCGAACATTTCACCTTCTCCTTTTGGATTTTAAGTTTCCTATCCATTCGGAGAACATTATGCTAACATGACAGTTTACTTTGTTTTTTTTTTTCTTTTTATTTCCCGCAACTTCCCTTTTTCGATTTATGATTTGCTAAGAGTTCTAATCGAAACTATTGATCTGTTTTTTCATATCTAGTATCATCATACGAATCAAAACTAAATAAAAATATTATGTTAACATATTAGGCTAAAAAAATTTTACCAAACAGTTATACTAAAGCCGAGCGATAATCCTTCCGCTCACAGGAGACCCCATTGAATATGCACAATTTTTGGTCACATTCTACAATTATGTGTTAGTTTCTGAAACCACATTAGGAATAACAACACAATACAAAAAGAAGGAATCACGGATAGTATGGTACCTGTGTATCCTTGAGCCGGCTGAGCTCGGGCTGCAGGTAGTAGGCGATGCCGCGCGTGGCGCCCGGCAGCAGCAGCCCGCGCGCCAGCAGGATCGACAGCACCACGTACGGCATGGTCGCCGTCATCCACACCACTTTACCTATAATTTCGGAATTATCACTGGCCTTAGCATCCACGACTGAAACATGGGGTCTCCTAATGGATCACAATTATAATTTATCGAACTTCTTATTCTATCACGCGAACATGCCATTTTGAATTAGGACAAAACACATCCTAACTCACTGAGCAGCATCAGCACAGATGGCTTCTTACGACTACTGTAGTGCTAGTCGAGGTGCCTTTCAAAACACAGCAAGGGATAAACATAATAAGCTATTGGTAGCTTTTATGAAATTTACTAAAACTACGTTAAAATGCTAATATATTTCTAAATCTCTACTAACCATCAGTTTTAATAGAGTTATTTTTTTTTCACGTACCAGAACTCTTGACTCCTTTGAAGAGTGAGAGATAGAGGGTGACGTAGACCAGCCCTAGACACATGGCCAGTTGCCACTTCGGTAGGCCTAGGTCATTCAGACCTTCTGAATGCTGCATCTCCAATACCGCACGACTAAAAAAAATATGTGCTCCAAGTTAATTTCTCATATTACTATCACTTTATAACAGAAAAACACTGAATAAAGAAAATAAAATACTCGTTTATATATTAGAGACATTATTCAAAAACAAGTCCGAAAAAAAGGCTATAGATCAAAGATAAAAAGTTTGGACGCGGAAACCTAGGACAAAATAAACGGTGTGGTATTACGCACCGTTACAGCCCTAACTGGCATGTAACAGGGCTGCATACAGCTTCTCATGTCATCGTCCAATCTTAATAGTCATCGGTCCAAAATAGTCTAGTACAATATACGCAAAAACCTTGATTGGGGTTAAACGACTAATGGGAAATTGACCCATAAGTGGTCGATTCTTTATGCCAAGATTTATGCAGTAGATGAACGAAACAAAAATTAGTTATATGCTTATTTATTAAAATACGCTTAACTGCCCATTTAGGACATTGTAATGCATACATGTGTTAGAAACTCATCAGCTCTTAACGACATAAACTGATGTCACTACATAACCGAGAAAATATAAATGCTTAAAATGGAGTGAAGAAAAAATGCTGTTAATATAGTCCTAATCGTTTACAAAATGAGGCTTATCTTATACACAACTTACTGAAAGAACTCTGACGCTGGTGTGAAATGTGACAGCGGACCCTGGTACTTGAGATCTTCGGTGCGATTTGTGGAGTTGTGGCGGCCGGAGTCCCAGCAGTGCTCCGTGTTCCATGCGTTGTCGCAGTGCACCCACGGCAGCTCAGAACGCGCCGACGATACCAGGAAGTAGAACGCCCACCCTAATAGGAACATATCGTTGCCAGCAGAACGGCGCGTGAGCTGTTGCCGCATTCATTGCCTAGCGCAATGAATCCATAAACCCGGATTTACATTATGAAATTAAATTTGGCACTAGTGGAACAATTTTGTAACGGCATGCAACCAATAGTATCTCTGAGATACAGGTTTCGTCAACTTCGAAGCTTTACTATGCTCAATTGATGTCGCGACACCAGTTTCGCCATGTCGTGCGGAAATTAGTTGCACGACACTAATTTCATCAAAAATATACGCATCGCACGAATGTTTAGTGTTCTGAAACTAATGCATGAATTGTGGAACGTTTACACATACGATTGTTAGAGAAGTAAATGCAATGAAACTTATATCGTGCAATTAGCTTCGTAATTTGGATTCGGCTTAAGACGCTGAATAGTGCCAAATTGGTAAAATTGATCTTGGATTGTACTAATTCACGGGAAACCTATGGCAATCCAAAAATTTGTGGTTATACTTGATCGTATTTCTGATCTTGTGGTTGAAACCGAAACATGATTGTATTAACTTCACTCGATAGAAAATAATTCCAAAGTAGCATCTAAAAATATTGCGAAAGGCTCTTTTCTCAATTATGTGATACATTAGAGTAATGATATTGAGTACAAATATGTATCAAAGGTTAATATAAAAGTTGGTTATTCCCAATTTTTGATAATGTTATTATGATAATTATTATAATTTATTTTGTGATATGGCACATATGGTCATTTTTTTCAAGCAACTTTAAAGTATTGACATTTCTGTCACTCCTACTGCAATTGACAGGGAAGGCTATAGAATAACGCACACTAACTTAGTTCACGCTGAGGCGTGTTGCTAGATGGACCTATGTTGCTTTGTGCAGCGTTCTGACGTACCGAGATCGCTAAAATTATAAAAAAAAAGAACATTTAAAATAAGTATTTGAATTTCGCCCTCGTTTAAACAATATATTTGGTGTAATGTACGAGGGAAGGGACCCGAGTGTCTCGAAGTTGTAAGTTCTAATCCCACCAGAGCTCGCATTTTTTCAAGTCGTTTTTTTATTATTTTATTCTAATTTTCATTTTTTTTCTGCCATAATTTTAAAAAGCAACTTTTTTTATATTATTAAACAGTATAAAATGTGAAAATAAATATTTCTTTAGTATGACGTAGGCGAAAGTCAGACTGACATTTTCATATAAAACCCCGATATTGATGAAATGGTTCCAATAAAATACATGTTCGTGTTCCAATCTCATCAAAGAAGCATTTTTGTTTTACTTTTATCTTCTTTTTCCTAATATATTTTCCTCTCTCATTTTTTTATAGGTATATGTTATTCATTAATAATTCGTTAAAATAATTTTGAATATTATTTTATACAGTAATTAAGTATTATTTAATTATCTAGTCTAGTTGATAAATTTAATTGCTGTAAAAATATATAACATAAAATTTGACAATAGGTAAATATTTCCATAAAAGTATGTGTTTGCAAAAGTTTGACATTTTCATGCAAAAACCATCCCGTAGACCGTTACTCTAGTAAAAAATAATTCCTAATCAATCATATTGTGTAAATAAAATAGTTCAATAAATAGGTATTACTTTATAAAACAAATATAAAAAAGGGAATTAGTTACTATTTAATGAATTTGAAAATTATGGTAATAGTGTACTAAATAATAATGTACAGGTTTTTCACAAACTTTTCTAGTGTTTGGTGTGGCGCAATGTCCTATGTGCTGGTCACTAGGTACTCATTGTGCCGCAGATCAAAACCGAGTTTCATGTTTTTTTTGTATCTTAATTTTTTTACCCAATATTTTTATTATGAGAAATATAATATTAAAAATTATTTATGTGTTTAAACTTAAATATAAATTATTATATTTAATAATTGTATCGATATTATTTTTGAAATTTTCATGGAAAAACGACTGGATAAATTTCACGTTAATTTGATACAAAATACCTCTAGATATCCTTTATTGGTTTGCAAACTATTGCAGTACGCAACAGGCGTAGCCATACAATTACTGATAATGAAAAACGAAGATTTTTCTGTGAGGTAAATGTACAGTGTTCCGGACTAGTACACAATTTTAAACGATACTCAATAGACTATAGTTGTATTGCAACCAAAATAAAACAATTTTAACCATACTTGGTAATTTCGATAGTGGATTGGGTAGTTTCAATAGTGAAACGTAAAGCACGAATTTGCAGAATCATTGAAATTTGCTTTGAAATAATCATATCTAGGCTGATTTCGAGTAATAAAATCGCATAATTATCTTAACATATCAAAATTAAAGGTCCAGTCTTTTTGTTTATTCATCATTTGACTTAAAAACATAACCCACCATTACGTGACGACACTTCGTTTGAATATTTTCTGAATCTGACATCTGTGAGTAGTTGTAAAAAAAATAAATAAACAGCAGCCGATTTGACAGAAAAAGCAGATTCCGAGATAATACTGTTCTTACCTTATTTAATATTATTATTTTGTCGAGATCGTTAGATAATACCGTTTTCGTTTGAATAACATCTTATTTTTTTTTATACAGGATCAAACAGTTATGCAAATTTATATGAACATAAAATTGAAACATTAATAAACACATAGTTCCCTACATTACATTTGTTAAATTGGTTGATTGTTAAAAATAATTTAATCTGTTTGTACATTACTGTTATTTTATTATTATTATTGATATTTCAATCTGTACATAACAGAATATCGTCATGAATATAGCAGACGGTGTTTTTATGGGTGTAAAAAAGTGGAATTATGATTTAATTTTAAGAAAAGAAAACGTTTTTAATTTTTTGTTTTTGGAATATTTTTGTTGTCGATTATAAACACTTACTAGTACCAAGTAAGTACTTTTGCAATCAGAGTATAACACCCTATTATAAAAGCCGTGACAAGATTTCGAACGTGACTGATACGATCGCACCGCTATTTCGTAAGACGTCGTTCTTTGACTTTCTTAAGATACTGGTAAATTTATTGAAATAAAATTTGTGAAGTCGTTTTAGCCATTAATTGTTATCAACAGAAGGTTTTATAATTAGGGAACTATATTTTTTTTTAAATCTACTTTCCGCATCACGGATGCAAACCTGTGGCGTATGGTTACCGTAATAATTGAAAATCACTCCAAAATGTTACTAAATTTTATTCCTGACTAAGGTTGGCATTAAAAAATTAGATGTGAATAATTCGGTTATCAGCATTTATTATTGTGACGTAAGTGTGGTAAAAGTTTTACGGTAAATTTTACAATTCAGTTCAACTCTAAGCACAGAGTTGAGGACAAGCTCGACATTCAAAGAAACGGGTGATTCTCTAGAATATCTAATCAGGACTCTGGGTCTGGGCAATCCCATTCTGAAAAGGGCAGGTTAGTGTAACTGGCCTATATGATAAAACTAGCTACGGTTCACTTCACATGGATGCATAAATTCAGTATCGGTATGAATATCGGAATCTTAGAACAAATTGTTGATGCCTGGGGGAATTCACACAACGTTTTAGGTGTTTTCTGTGACGTACTTAAAGCTGTCAATTATGGTGTTCATGAAATATATAACGAATCTTCATATTATGAATTTAGAGATAACTAGTTAGATTTTGCTGTCTCTTAGTTCAGTGGCTTTGTAGGAGGTTCATATCGGTGACAAAAAATCCCCTGAATCGATAGATCAACACCTATCATGGGTGTTTCACAGTGCTCAATGCTTCTTTTTTAATTTATATAGACAAATTGCCTCCTTTGGTAAAGGATAATCACGAAATAGATTTATTTACAGTGACAATTCCGTGAAGTATAACTTCACTCTTATTTAAAATTAAAAGAGGACGACCAGTTAATGACGGTGTGAATAGTTATATTCTCAAAGTAGTACATTGGTTTAATATCTTATGTGTTATTCACGTGAATTTTAAGCCTTTCATCACTCATAATCTTGCTCCATGACTATCGCTTCATTTGCAGATTGAATGGATTCTATGTAAGCACTGTGGTAGGTATCATCTGCATAAAGAAAGCAGCTTTAAACTGGCGATCCCAACGAAATTCATAAATTTTATTCTATAGAGGCAACTATTCAAATAATGTGTTGCTCAATAAATATCTTGAACAACCTCAAATAAGATGAAAGGTTGGGTTATAGTAAGTTTTTGTTATTGTTTCATTTGGTCGTATAACTTTTTACTGAGGTTATGTTAGGCCAAAATACTTATAAAGATTCATTACACCGTTATATTATTTGCCACTAGCTGGTGCCCGCATCTTCGTTCGTGTTGTCTCATACCAAAGATTTTGTAAGCTTAAATTGTATGTTGTGGATTGAGTAGGTTATAACTTAATGAACCTGTAAAGGTAGAATTATTTTTGTACCAAAATTCTACAGTCTGCTGACGGTGCCAACGGTATATATGATTAACAATAATATTTAAGATGAAATTTATAAACTTTATTGGTGTTTTTTTTTTATTATTCGGGTGCCAAAATATAAAGCCCAGAGATGTTGCTAACCCTTAAAACAACAAGGCAAAGTTGGGCATTAGATAAACAGGTAATTTTCAGTTCCACACCAGCAGCTTTTATTCTCTCAACAGCATATCGAAGTCGATCAGAATTCCGTGGTTTACTGCGCTGTTCTTATATCTTTGCGTACTTCAGAAATTGTTTCTATCTCATTTTCTGGTAGATCTAAAGATTTTGGGCAATGTATGATGATGGTCAGTTTTTCACTGGCTTAACTGGATTCTAGAGACCGAAGATTCTATCCGTTTTTATTCTTAGAAAATTTGATCATGTGTCCCTATATCGTTAAAATTCAAAATGGACGTAAATCCGGAAGCGAAGATGTATGCGTGCTTTAACTACGTTATCCTCTCTGCTGAAATCTCCAGACACTCTTTCTTATCTTAACAGTACTTATGTACCTTTCACACCAAAACTCTTTGTTCCTCCTCTAATAGTCTACTCTGCCCATCCCATTTCTCCGAAATCGTTCACTCTTCGTTCTTCGTCAAATCTATTCCTTTGTGGGATGAATTTCCATTCTACTTGTGTCTACAAGAATGATCAATAAATAATAAATTAGCTTCTAAAAACAAGTTATTCTATAGCAAATGTTTCTATTTATCTGTTTATCTGTAATTAATTACTTTATGATTTATGTATTTTTATTGTAATTATTTATGTATGTATACACATACATAATTACTATAAAATTATGTATGTATATACATACATAATTACTATAAAATTAGGGAAAATGATGTTGCCGTCTTATTATGTACAAAGTTAATTTTAATATATTTAAAACTAAATCCAAATTATCTAATCAGAGCTTCTTGACACATTGCATTGTCTGTTTCTAGAGTAGACGAAAAAACGGACATTAAACCTTAGTATTTACATGATCGTTGAAATACAACGATACGTATCGCTAACCATAGATCTTTCCCTTTCCCGCGTTTTGTTGTACGCAACAAGGTCACGAACTTGCCCTGTACAACAATAGAGAGAACCCCGTGTCCACATCATCCTAAGGTTTATTGGTAGAAAATGGCCATGGCATTAAGTACGCCAATGTGTATTTGTGCAAAAAATGTAAATAAATAAAAAAACTATTTATTGTTAAGAAGTTATTTTTATCCGATGTTATAGTATAACTAGTATCTTTGAGGACCACATTATATGTTCTGGGTCTTTGACTTTTGTACTCTTAGCAGAATATATTGATCAGGCACAAAAATTTTTCTTACGGTGTCGCTGGTTGTGCATCAATCGTTTAAGTTTCCCAAATTAATTATACCCCATATATTGCCCAGGTATTAACAAAATAAGTTTCATACAAATATACTCAGTAGTCCCGAAAATTAACGTGTATATACAGATAAACAGATAATATTTTTTAAATTCGTATTCTATTATTGTTCATTAACCACCCTCAATTTCTTTCTTTTTTTGTAAATATATTCAATGTATGGACATTATTTTTTTGCAGATTTGTTATAAGTATAAAATGTGTAACAGAAATAACGCACGTCCTTTTACAACCCAATTAGAAAATGAATTTATAAAATGGATTTATAAATAAAATTAAACATTGTTTATGATACAGTTATACTTATTGCTGGGTAACGGTGTGGACATTTTACAAATAAACACAATGACGTGAAAATTACGGCTTCAGTATTTTTTAAGTTAAGGCAATAATTATGATTCTTATTTGTTATGAAAATCAGTTAGCATAGTCTTGCTATCATATATCCCATAATCTTTAGACACTTCGATGTATTTATTAACTGTATGTTAGTATAACGAAATATAAACAAACTACTTTCAGAATGTGCGTTAATTATGTTACACGTTGTATATAGATATACAGCGGATGTAAAGTATTTAATGGCGTTTAGTTCCCTGTCTGCTAATGAAATTTCACTACATACTTATATGTTTACTCATAAACTGGAAAGTAAAATTATATCTCTGCTTAGATAATAAAGGACTTAATAGGGATTGGATGGACAAAACAGTTTTTTCTCTATATTTTTAATTACAGCTACAGATGTTGTGATACATCTATAAATCATATTTTTGGTACAAGAATATATTTTTTTATAAATCGAAGACAATTTTCTTTTAAAATAAAATACATTTTCCATGACAAAAACTAACTAAGCCAATGATAAGTTTATCTGTAAAAACTTTAGTGAATTTTCATTTAATAATTGTAGTATTATGATTGTTTCGGAGTTCATAAAAAGAGTGTTTTTGGATGACTTTGCCTTTCCTTCAAGCTCTTTATACTTAATGTACTATTTAAAGTATGGATAGACTTTTAAGATATTGTTTTTGAATCAGTTCGCTTTCCAGTATCAAATAAAAAATCTCTGACGGCAACTTTGAAATCATCTATATTTATGGGACAAATAAAATGATTGTGTTTTAATGGTTTTATCCTAACCGGTCAACCAGTCCTATACTTTGATGATGCGTCAGTATTACAAAATATCATTCCACCTCCATAACTTTTCTTCAAATTATGAAAACAGGATATGTTTTATTAACTCCAGTCCAAAGATCAGGTAGAGTCCAATTCTTAAAGCATTAATTATTTTTAAACGGGCCATGAAATGTTCGACAGCAAGACAATGGTAGAAACAGGCGCGTCTACCCTATATTCTCATAAAAACGATTCTAAAATTGCTTTTTTTTCTCCTCCTCCGGCAAGTTCGATATGGATATGTGTACTAACTACAATGACTTCCAATTAATATTGCATATGGTGAATATTCGTTTACGTAAAGCCGACCTACCAAAAATTCGTACAATTAAAATGTATAATGACTCTTCTTGTAATGAGAATAAGGTATGAAAGTCCGTCTCAGTCAAACTCGGCGGGGATTAAGTGCCATGACGTGATATTTGGTTTATTCTGATTGGCCGACATTATCAGGTACACACAGCAGCAAGTCAGGTTACTACAGTCTATCAAATTATCGCAATTATTTTAACTCTACCTTCACTACATTAAGGTTTAAAATCGAGTGAAGAAATGTGATGTGATGTGTGGTATCATAAGTGATTTTATATAGTTATTTCATATTTCTTTAAATTTTAAATCTTTTAATTATTCAATGCAAAGCATTTTTTAAAATATCAATGAATTAGAATAAAATTCTGAAATATGAAACAGACAAAATATTAGTATGTTATTTTGTCGACCCAAAAAGAAAAACATACTTGTCCTTTCTAAGCCCCATAAAAATCTGGAGTAAAAAGAAATTATTCCTTTCTTTTAAAAAAATTCTGCGCCACCTATTGTGTAAGCACTTTAGACAGCTAACTCAAAGCACTCGATGGTTATAAAACGTCATTGTTATTAGTACAAAGTTTATCTGCTGGCGCTTAACCGATAGGCATTTGTTATTCTTCTGAGGAACGTGCAATGAGCTAACCCACACTAGCGTAGACACCTGTAATTATGTAAGTGGGCGTGTCGATTTCTAAAAATCATTCAGTGTCCTCAGCCCCTTAACAGTCTATCAGAATCACGTCCACTACATGTCATTATATAATAATGCTGACACTGAAGAATAACATCGACGTGCCTTACTTCCATTCCCTCTTTCCTTTCTTGCAAACTATTTTACATCCTTGCTTTCTTTAGTATCCATGTTACTTTTTCCTTCCCAACAATTCCCCCTTCCTAGCTTGAACTCAAAGTCGAGCTAGGCCCTATCGCGTTATAGAGTTTAAATGTTTATCCTTAGCGCCTTTTTGACGCTGTGCTTGACGTCAAGGTCAAGGCTGTTTATAGCTGGACTTATACTGTTTGTACTTAGCAGGTAATAAAACATAAGGTTAAACGGCCTCGTGTAGACCGACAGCACAACCCCCTCTTGGAAGTCATCCAACATTCATTAACATCATCTGATAACGCTATACGTCGGAAAGAGTTAACGTTATAGTCAAATCTACAATAAACGGTTTTATATTTTGAACTTTAAAACATTTATTTTAATTTTAATTTTCTCGTGTAAAAACTTACCAATAATAACGTTATAGTAAAAAGACACGTAGAATGCCACCATCACCGCACAAAAACCGACGCCTGGAACGATAAACATTTATTTGAGAAACATAATCTTCAAGAATAAATAAAACAAATGTATTATAAATAAAAAAAATATTTAGACAACATTACACTAAATACCTTTTGCCCTTGAATTCTGGAAATCTATACTAATATGTACTGTAAAGTAGAAACATATGTTTGGTTTTTATAATGGAAAAACTAAAAAATTACTAAACCGATTTTAAAAAAAATTCACTTACGGAAAGCTGAATCGTAAGCGGGTGGCAAAGATTATAATCTACGTGACTACTCTGAAATAATAATGTATCAAAACAACCCGTGACAATATAGAAAACTTCGTGTTGTTATTTGTTTCGAGTGTCGAACCCAGGAGCTCAGAGATGAACAGATATGATCCGCTCGGCCATGGAGGTCCTCAAATAATCAAGGTAATGTCATCTCCGACTCCCGAGTTGAGTTCTTGATTCGAGTCAACGTAAAAAATGGACTTTTCCATATTATTTCGGTGTGATACCTACATTGTTTCAGATTCCCATAATTCAAATACTTTAACTACTTGATTTTGGATCTGAGCAATTTGTGAGATGTTGCCTAACATTTATTTATTTTGTTGCCTACCTTTGAATAGCGGACAGATTTTCCACAACGTTATGGGTCCTTGACGGTTGTATTGCCCCAATATAAGCTCCATATAGAAAAGCGGCAACGCTCCAAACACGAGCATCAACGTGTAAGGTATCAGGAAGGCGCCTGAAATATAATAAATCTAATTAAAAACAAAAGCCCCATTCATTTCACAGTAAAAAATGGCTATTATAGAGTAGTTATTTATTAGAAAAGTGGAAATTGCAATGGTCTCGCGGAGATCAATAGCCTATGGATCATTGTATGTTGGCAACTGTTCTTTAAAACATACGGTTACATCGTTTATCACTGTCAGCTTTTGCTAGCAGGTAGAAAACATCCAAGTATTAACGTTAATATATAATTTAATACTATAAAATAAGTATTTATTTAAAGACAAGCTTTTGTTGTTTGGAACAGAAATCTTGTAAAGACAAATCAAACGAGCCCAAATTCGATGGGATTGCGTTATTGAAATCCCATGGCTACCTTCCGGCTCCATAATCAGATCAGCCCCATTTGAAATTTCAGCTCAATCGTAAACCAAGAAGTGAGGTAAATTTTGCTTGCAAGATTGTATTAAAATGATCAATCATCACGCTTTAAATCATTATCTTTTAAGGTCTACGTACAATAATTTTGTAATTATGTCCCCCATTGTCATTGTCAAAATTTGGAGCCCTAGCAAAATAGTGAAAATGCATGAGATTCTTTAACACGCTGTATTTTCAAGAAAGTCGTCAATAATAAAATGTTAAAAAGTCTTCATAAAATAGTTTGAATACCTCCGCCGTTCCTGTAACAGAGGTAAGGGAAACGCCACACGTTGGCTAGGTCCACTGCAAATCCAATTATTGACAGGAGAAAGTCAGCACCAGTACCCCACGTCTCTCGACCATCATCAGCTTCTGGAGATAGGTTACGTAACTCGTATAAATTCCATAATAAATAAAAAAAATAAATGTAATATTGAGCTTTTAACATATAAAATAATTTTAAAAACTCTTCAAGAAGGATATAGTTCGGCAAACTGTTGGGCGTGCGTTATTTGCAGGTTCTTAATGTTAAGTTTATTGAATTTTTTTATAACTAACTTTTGCCCGCGACTTCGTCCGCGTGGTAAAGTTACTTTGAGCAGCATTTATAACGAATATTTATTCATTATATCGTGTAAAATACCTGAAAAAAGGTCTTATCCTCTTAGCTTATGGGTGGAATTTATCAAAATCTTTTCTTAGGGGATGCTTACCTCATAGTAGCTTTATGCATGCAAAGTCTCAGCCCTTAAAATTGACAAAGTTTCATACAAACTTGCATCCCCTATTTTATCCCCTTGGGGGTAAAATCAATCAAAATCCTTTTTTAGATAATGCTTACGTCATAGTAGCCTTATTTATACAATATCTCAGCCCAATCGGTTTAAAATTGACAAGGTTTCATACAAAATTTCATCCCCTATTTTATCCCCTTGGGGATAGATCTGAATGGGGATAGATGAATCAAAATCCTTTCTTAGCGGATGCCTACGTCATAACATCTACCTGTATGCCAAATTTCAGCCCGATCCGTTCAGTGGTTTAGGCTGTGCGTTGATAGATAACTAAGTCAGTCAGTCACCTTTGAGTTATATATATTTAGATTATTTTCCCGTGGGAATGCGTCATTTTCCTGCGGTAAAAAGTAGCCTATGTCCTTTTTTGGGTATTAAAATATCTCCATACCAAATTTCAAGCAAATTGGTTCAGTGGTTTAGGCGTGATTAAGTAACAGAGAGACAGAGTTACTTTTGCATTTATAATATTAGTATGGATGCCTACCTACTTACGTTATATATGCATTACATTATATCATTGGCCCTTCCAGTATAGAAATCGCTATTAAGCGACGAGGCCGCCTATTGTGCAAATCATATTTAATATGTTTGTAAGTTATTCTTATCTTATTTTTCATTAAGTTAAAATGTAATTTTAATTTAAATACGTATATTTCTGAAATATTTTTCCTTTACTTTTTACTGTTTTAAAGTTGATTAAACTTTAGCAGTATTATTAATAAACAAGGTTTAGCGTTGGAGTAAATTAACGCTAAGACTGCACTTGGTATTAGTCAAAATTCATATTATTAAACAGAGACTCAGTAAAGGTTAAAGTTCTACAGGAGTAATTTTTACCCCTAGAAGCTAGTAGGTTCACTTATTCTCTGTATAATATGAATTTGGACTAATACTAAAATTGCAATTTTAGCATAAATTAAGAATATTTTAGGTAATATTTTCAAAACTACTTAACAGATTTTTAATTAAATCAAATATATTAATTATAAAAAAAACACAATGCCATGTGATATCTGATTTGCCAAAAATATGAGGACTAACATCAGAAATAAAACCGATGACCTAATACGATCATTCGATTGCCGCCATTCACACCTCACTCTTGGCCGGTGTTTTTAATATTAAATATATTACCTGTCTTGATGCTGTTGGCTCGAACTTTCTTTGTGTTCTCGCTAAAGAAGCATTCCTCTTCTATTTGTATTTTCGGCTCCTCTGAAATAAAATCTTTAATCACTGCTTTGCTATTCAGTAAAATCATTATCCGACCAAGGAAGTTCAATCGAATAAAACCTTCATAACTCAAAATTCTAAGCTAATCAAAACTGAAACATTATTATCAGATATTCAACTGTGTTGTGACTCAAGCCACATATCCTTAATCAGGGTCTTTTAAATTAGAATGTTAATTCTTTATGGGATCACTACCACATACCTTATAGTTATCGAGCTCCCGATATTTAGGTAGTGTTGCAAACGTAAAACTCCGTGCTCAAAATATCGGGAACTCGATAAATATAAGGTACATGGTAGCAACCCCGTAGAAAAGTATAATTCTAATATTAATTAGTTCTTCTCTGTGGACAGAATTTCTTACGTTACACACGATGTGTTAACAGCTGGAGCTAAGATCTACAGATAATCGTATGATCCAAAATAAGAAACATTTAATTTTAACAAGAAATTATTAAAAACTTTTTTTTACATAGATAAAAGTACTTACTTTTGTAGCACGATAATGTCACTACAGAACCTTTCGTTGATTTGTGATCTGTGAACAAAAAATAGTTTAAAAAAGAAAAAATATATGTGTAAATATATGTAAATATATGTGTATGTGTAAAAAAGAAAAAGAAATAAATTACATTGACCGATACATGTTATCAATGGTATTGGCGTTGTAATAAAAAACAATATTCTGACATGTAAAAATGTGCATTATTATGAATGTCTATTGTGACAAATAAATTATCATTTTATTGTATAAATTGCAGATTATAACAAATACAAATTATTTCTGCTAAAAACTCTAGATAACTGCAACACATAAGTCCAATTATGTCATCACACCAACTTTTAAAGTAATAACATACTAACAGACATGTCAAAATAAAGAAGCACTTAAAAAACTAATTTCCCATACAAAATTAACTTATCGACACCTAATTTCAGTCACGTAAACCCCCTCCGGATACCTGTCCACAGACTTATTTCCGCAATACGAATGCCAAGCGTCTTAATAAAGCCCGCGCAGGCATCCAACCCGCATAATGGGATGCCGATCCGACAAAAATCCTCCATTATTACCGTCAATAATTCCACTGGGCCTCAATCGTATTGGAATTCAAAAATGAAAGGCGGCTGCGATGGAATTCTTCTGAGAATTCCAAATAACCGAAGACGTTAAAAGTTCTTCAAGAGACACTCATTTCTTATAATTAATTTTATTGAGACATCGGAAGCGGCGTAAATTGAACACCAGTCTGCTACGGTACACTGCGGCTACGACACTTATATGTGCTACGCGTAGCCTACTCGTAATACCGATCACACTGATCGTATAGCTTATGGGATATGTTTAAAAATTTGTAAAAAAAGTATTTGTAAATACCAAAATACTAAAAAATCTCATCACAGTTTTTCTGCAACAAAATCATTCTGGTATTAATTCATCATCATACAATATTCAAATCTTGAACGGGCTATTGGTTATGTATTATTTCACAATTTTCCCGAGATCTATCAAAAATTAATTGTCCCCGCTTGGGAATTCATGGGTCAGCGGATTCTCATTAATGATACAAATATACGTTCTAAAGACAATTCTATCTCTTTGCATAGCAAATTCGTGCATATTATCGAGCACTGCATTATTTTGGATTCACAATTTTGTTAAAATAATATGATATCCAATATTTTTAAATACTTATTTTTCTTATTTATAATTTTCCAGAATTACTACAGTAATATTTTTATCAATGTTAGTACATAAAATGAATTCACCAAGGTACTGAAATATATATTAAGCACTAGTGGAAAGCGCCGGACAGATTTATTGCCACTTCAAACGTTACAGACGGACAATATTACTAGCGGCTTGTCTTTTATCTTAAGTTTTTGTATAAAACTGACTAGAGACGAAATATTTATGTTGTTAGCACAATTCATCTATGCGTTCTATGTTTTTCAGATTATTATTGTAAATAGTAATGTCTTTTTTCATAATCTAATAAAGATATCGAACTGAACTTCTCTATATGAAATACAATAGGGGGAGAGGCAGCTCCGAAGATTTACAAACCAATGATTATTTTTTTAATAATAATTATACTCCTTACAGCTTCGCCTAGACTGAATTAAATTTATTAATTTGAATAAATTGTCTTAAAAATACTAAACATCCTTTTTTTAATATATAAATATACCGGTATTACCGAACCTTCTGGTAAAATTTTACTGTTTGAGGGACAAGCGATAAAAATCGGTGAACCATTTTGTTTTAAATGTGTAATAATTCAAAATAATTTTTTTATTACGCAGCTTCGTGTTGTTCAGATGTAAAAAGTGGTAATGCTTAGAAACTTTTGTTTTTAGTCTATAAATTCAGAACCGCAATAATATCGATAAAACCATTATATAGGGTAGTTTCACGGCGTGTACAAGTAGGCTGTCCATTAGGTTTGCTCAAGTGTCCCCTTTTATTGTTTTCCTATAAACCCTCCGTCAAACCTGGACGAATGAAGCTATAAAAGAGAACTCACAATGTTTATTAAATACTAAAATAGCGCTATAATCGTTACAAATCAATATTTTATTTATTACTAGCTGTTTTCCCATGATTTCCCCGTGTAAATTAAAGCGTATGTTATCGACGTATGATGTAGCTTCCTGTACTGTAAAAATGGGAGTAGTAGTTTTGGAGTGTATTCAATCAAACAAACAAACAAGCAAATAATTCTTCCCTCTTTATTATACGTATTATTATAGATTCACGATGAATTGTGGCTACACAATGAACATTAAATTCATGATTTTTTGGTTATTCAATATTCATACATACATACATAGACATAGATCTTCCCTTTCTATAGAGACGAATTGGACAGGAGTCACCAACCTTCTGAGACAGAAGGGTCAAAACCTAAGTTATACGATATTTATACAAGTTTTACATGTTAAGGCATTGGTCCAGTCCGCATCCGAAGCCGATAACACCCACCAATCCACATTAAGGCTCGCGCGGCGGATCACAGCTCATTCTCCCTGATACTGATGACACAGTACACAGACATACACAATAAAATTTCAAACGCTAAAGTCTCAATTAGAAGTTTTCGTTGAAAACTTATTTTGTCTTCGAAACAATATTTAGCTGTCATTACTAGCAATTTAAATGAAAATATAACCTTTAATTAAAGCGTAAAACGTCCATTTAATATCATGAAGACAAAACTTCTTGGCACTTCGTATTATTAAGGCTATATAAATATTAATTAATTCGCTTGGACTTATTAAATTTATATTATATATTTATCGCGCATCCACTTCAGAAATTAAAAAATATCTAATTAAGTTTATAGTTTATTTATTTTTTAAATCTGCTAATATCTTTACAACTTATTTTGATCGTACGCTGAGAATGATAGTGACACAATGCGAAAAATTCGATTTTAAGTAATGAGCGTTTGTAGTTCAAGAAATTGTAATCCGCCCCCCTAAACAACGCATCGTCACTACGCCATCTAGCTGTTTCTATGCAAACGTTCACAGAGATCTTTGCATTTTAAAGTTTATACTTAACAAAGAAAAACGAACAGTCCTCCTCCATCAAGTCTGGTGGGAAGTAACCCTTACTACCTTATAGAACTCAGACGTAGCTTTTTTCGCTAGATCAGATCATCGTGTTGGTGACCGGCTGAATAATTACCAGTTTTTCAGATTCCTAATCAGTTGGATCCTACTATGCAGATACGGAATTTTCGCAACGGTTCCACCAATCACAATAATAAAAACCGGCCAAGTAAGTGTCGGACTCGAACACGAAGGGTTCCGCACGTAAAACGAGCATAAAAATCACGTTTATTGTATGTAAGTCCCCCATAAATATTTGATTCCATAATGGAACCCAGCAAAAAAATCACGTTTGTTGTATGGGAGTGCCCAAAATATGGGGCATAAAGTTACAATATAAATACATATCTTGTGAATATTTCAAGCATCTACTTGATGTCGTTAACATAGAGCTATAGTTAGTGTTGTATGCGAGCCGCCTTAAATATTTATTTTATTCTGGTATTTAGTATTTGTTGTTGAAGCGACAAAAGAAATACATCCTGTGAAAATTTCAACTGTCTGACTTTCACGGTCATGAGATAAAGCCTGGTGATAGACAGAACCCCAAAAAGACGTATATTTTGGAAATAAACTCTGTATTAAACATTAATTAAATGCTAACATAGCTACAATTCGATTCTTTAAATTTTTATACGCTGAAGAACCGTTCTACGTCTACGTTGTTGTTTGGACGCCAGATAATCTGGACCTGATAATTGCATCTCAATTAATTGCAGTCCGTCATTTACAATCTACCTCCGGGCCAATGTTATTTATTTAAAGTCTTCTTCGCAAATCAACGGTGACAGATAAGTTTATTATTTTGTAATCTAGTAACACGAACTTTGTCAAAAAGGTGTTATTGTAGCGTCATTGACTCACTTTAACAACGCTAACATTAGCAGAACAAGAGCCCTGTCATGCTGATGTAAGAATGAGAGCAGCCGTATGCAGGGAGAAAATGTCTTTCATGGGATAAGAATTTCTATAGTGTCAACATGAAGGAAAAGGTCTACGAATCTATCGAATTTTTTATTGTTTTTTGTTTCACTTTTGCATTTTTATTGTTTTTTTTTCAATCAGCATCTACTTTGTAAATAGGAAATTTCTGCACCTTTATGCTTGGGTGACGCTCTAGGTTCAAGTGTTTATAACTTACCGATAGCTCGAGGCGTGCTACTGGCGGAGCAGTAACCATCGTCCCTGGCGCTGCGGCCGCCGGGCGTGCCAGTAGCGCCACGACTCAGTAGCGCTGGACTCGCGCGCTGCTCCTCATACGATGGCGCAGTGTGAGTTACAACGCTACTGCCACTGAGCGAAGCCTGACGACAACACACGTTGATCAGCATAACCCTTGTTCATACTAGGATAACACCTGTAGGATCCCAGGATCTTCCACCAAAAGAGACGACGGTCTGAGGGAGGATGAGGCGGGTCCATGTGGATGGTGACTCCCACACACCCCTTGCCGCCTGTCAAGCGGCGGGTCAGTGCATAAAGCATTTCCATATGAAAAAAAGGCTAAAACCTATAAGGTAGAGTGGCCTAAGAGTTTTGGCTTGTAATATATAGGTGGTGATGTATTTTAGTCGTCATTTATAAACTTTAGGGTTATCACATTCACACATAAGTAAAATTAGCTTTAGAAGTTATCCACAGCGTGGTTCATAAGGAAGAGAGAAAGATCTTATAGTCTTATAAGAATTATGATGTGAATACCATTGTGGGCACTTTTGTCTCATGATATCCATCTCTATCATAACTGTTCCTGGTACGGGTCGGCAGTGCGCTAGTCAAGTCGGGCTTGTGACAGGAATCAGTTTCTGGATCCTGGAAACAAGTTATAAACTAGAAATATGTACTTACAAATAACTATGATACTTAATTAAGAGGAACTCAATGGCACAGTAGTTAGCGCGCTCGGTCTACAATACGGTTGTTAAGCAACTTTCGCAAGGGATGGTCATAGGATGGGAGACCAAAGACTGTGCTTCGGAAGGCACGTTAAGCTGTTAGTCTTGTATGCATCCGCAGGACGTTATCACCCACCATACCGCGCTGAACCCGCGTGGTGGGTCATGGCACATTCTTCTTATTCGATTTTATTTAATTTCATTAATGGAGAAGGGTTATACCCCAGCTGTTCATGACTAACTGTGCTCTAATATGTAAATAGCTTTTGATACCAGGTTTATTATACTCTTTGATTTTATATAATTATTATTTTTAGAATACTATATATATCTGTATCTATTAAAATAAATGATGAAATAAAATTATTAAATATCAGTGTGCTAAAAACAAGCGGTCGTATCATTTACAACAGCATTGAGAACATTAATAGTTTAATTAATGGATGTTACTAACGTAAGAAATATTCCCAAGCATCTAATTCAAAAATTTCTATAAAGACGGAATAATTGAAGAACACTTTTATATAATTTTTATAGAGATATATTTGTAAAATTGTTTCGATCGAACCGTAACCGTGGACTTTCCTTCTACAGATACTTTACTGAGAGTCGAATTACACAAATATTTGTTACTTTTGCTGCTCTTAAGCGCATCAATGTTGAGATTACTCCAACAGTGGAAAGAAATATTTTTACAAATATTAAAAATTTTTAGCTAACCCTAGTTTAGAAGGTCGGTATAAAAATGTACAAGAGCGTTCTGAAACTTGACATTCCAATATGTTGAAGAACTAAGAGTATACCAATCAGTATCAAAGGCAAAGGTCAGACGCTATAACCCCTGACGGCAGCGGCGCGATACAAACCTCTGGCGATTGCTGAATATGTTTCTACCATTAAGAAAAGGTTAAAAAAATATTTTTATTGAATTAAAATGTTCAGACTTTTGAAATCAACAATGTAGGAAAGCTTTTTGAAAATCAACAGAACAATAATAGACTGATGAGGACACAGTTGAAATTTTTTTTTTCAACATATGAATATGTTGTCCCTCACCTGTACCCGATGGGGTGAAGAGTTGCGCCTTGATCCACTGCTGGACGACCTGTTGCTCGCCTCTGGAACAACATAAGATATTTAAAGCAATATTTTAGTAATTTTTATCCTTTCAAACCCAAACTTTTACGCCTTATGTATCTAATATAAACCTGATCGTATGATGTAGCTACCCGTGGGTGAAAGATTTTGTAAAATCAGTCCAATAATTTCGAAGTCTATTATATGCAAATAAACTGTGAAATCTCTCCTCTCTATAATATTAGCATAGACAAGAAACTTACTATAATACGTTTTGTTCTCTTATCTCAGTTACAAAAGTTTAATTTGTGTAACAAAATCAGACGGGATGTACATAAATAGACATTTATAAACGGTACCCTAAAAACGGCACAACATCTGCGATGCCGATTTAAAAATTCGAATTTCAAATTGAGGTTCACTGTTCCATTGGACGCGTTCGGATATGCAACACTAGCTGGCATTTAAATCGAACCTCATGGATATGAAATTTCAGACCTGGATACGGCTACGGCTTTAAGAGTAGGTGTTATGGTTTCGAGATACGGGAACGGATATTAAATTATTTCGTCTTCCCCGTCAGTATAGTTTCGGATAATTTCAGTGAAGGATACTAAGATTCTTTGAGTATGATGCACTTAATAATAAAAAATAAAAGAACGAAGTTGTCGTACTTATGTATTTAAAATTTTACTCCAAGATTCATCTAAATCGATCCTCTTACTGAAGAAGAAATTCATGCACCAAAAGTTTTTCATTCATTCAATGGAATTCTTTCATGTCGTCGTTCACCTTAAAACCAGAATGCGCTTCTGATTTGGATAAATAAAACAAACTTCGCAAGTGGTGTTTTACAATAGTATTTTTCATTTAGATCCTACCCTATCCGATAATCATGTTCGGTTACGGTTACAGACAAATTATTATTACGAATATCTGATAGTTTCGGTTATTGTTACGGACCTCTTAAACATCACCAATTTAAATCAGCAGCGGTCGCAACGGGTTGCAATATGCCGTTCAAATTTAATTTAATTCAAAACGGTCGACACGCTGCTACACCTGTCAGATGCACAGCTCCTCGGGTCGGAGGATGAAGAGAAGGGGGGGGGGGGCTATTTGTGCCATATTCATCACTCCGGCCTTGCTATTATGTATAAGAATAATGCATTGTTAGTAATTAAGTCGATGAAGAGGAGCTCGATGGCGCAATGGTTAGCTTGTTCGGTCTGCGATACTAAAGTTAAGCAACTTTCACAAGGACCGGGCATGGGATGGGTGACCAGAAGTTTATTATCTCGAGCTGCGCACCACTCACCAATATAATAATAAAGTTTATATAGACAATTTGTTCTCTAAGTCACAAAGCATCCACTTACATAGCGGAGATGGATGGGTCGGCGCGGCGGTGTGTATCGAATGACGTCATCAATCAGAATTGTTCTACCATTAAAAGCGCTTATTATCCTATCATGTTATGAATAGTGTCACATACGAAACGTTTATATTTAAATACCATTAACTATTAATTAAAAGAAATTTCAGGGAAAACTACAGCAAAAGCGATGACGACCTCTATAGCGGAGTACCTCACATACTAATAAAAAAAAAACTTTTGTATATTGTATTCTAATTGTATATGATCTAGATGTTGTGATGATACCTTTTTGTTTAATTGTCTGATATATATATATATATATACAACGTGTCCCAAAATTCAACGATAAGCGGGCGCCAAGAGGTAAGAAAAAAATTTTCGAATTTTATTTTATAATAAAAAAGATTAATAAGATATAATCTTTTTCTTATTTTTCCATAAGTACACATGAGCAGGTTTACCTCTTGGCGCCCGCTTATCGTTGAATTTTGGGACACGTTGTATATATATATATATATCTATATATATATATTATTAGCTGATCCCGCGACTTCGCCCACGTATATATAGCCTATGTCATACTATACACAGTAATACTTTTATTATAAATACCACATAATTTACCGTGCGTTTAACACTTTTGTTGAGTGAATGTGACAAACAATAATAAGTATAAATACTTTACAATGTTGAAATTTTTAGATATTATTTATATAATAATATCCACAGCTGGACGACTGACAGTATAAAATTAATCACGCTGTTCCGTAGAAATTCTCTCTGAAAATGCAACTAGAAACTACATTAATTTAGGTCTTCCGTTTTCATGTTTAAATGTGCATTTAAAATTAAATATTATTCTGCACCGCAATTCTCTAAGCGACGGCCGGCAACCGTGGCAACGAGAAATTTTAATAGCTGCTAAGTTGGAATACAAATAAAATGTGATCCGGATGCAAGTTGTTTCTAAACTTGAACCATTATTGTTGGTTTGGTACTGGACATGGCCTATTATGTGAACATATGCAAATATACTCTTATTTACCTTAAATATAGGGTCAGTTTTAAAGATATACTTTTTCTATGGTTTAAAGTCATGAAAAACATAATAACAAAGAGTTATATATTTTAAAATGTAATATTTGTCAAACATTTAAATAAATCAATAATATGGAGAATGATCTTTTGCAGTAACGTTAGGAGACAACAGAAAAGCTTTATATGTGCTATAGTCAAGTGGCACGAACGCGGTTTTCAAACCGTCTCTGAGGTCCTATTCCCGGTCGGATCAATGTAAAAATATTTCCTTTATTGTTTTAGATCTGGGTGATGTGGTAAGGTACCACGTTGTTTAAAATTTCCATAGTATAAGTGCTTTAGCTAATTGGGCTCTGAATCGGGTTCAATGCATTTGTAAAATACATATATATATATATATATATATAAATATTTATTTATTTAGTCGATGAACGAGGATAACTTTACCGTCATTAAGAAGGAGGCTTAGATAACTCATATACCAAAGGAACCCGGCCAATTACAAAGCTTTCACGATTTATTAAAATATCCAAAAAATATAGCTGAGAAACTTTTTAATGAAGTCCGTCGTAATATTACGTCACCCCAAATTGAGCTTATGTTCTATAAGTTTAACTTTAGCTTATATCTTGTCTATAGTACTCTACTAGACTTCAGTTTTTTTTACATAATATATACTAGGGATGTTGTACATTACTGATTTTACTAGGACTTTTGATAATATTTTTGGCACAAAATAATCATCATCTTAGTTAAGCTTTGGCAACTATTTATTTATTTTATTGGGGTTGGCAACAGCTTATAACTAATTATTACAATATTTTATTTTAGCAATTGATGAGCCGATAATAGCCATCCTCGATTTAACTAAAAACTAAAATTATCAAGCATATGATTATATTTATTTCGATACATATATCACAATGCCACTCAGACACCTAACTCACATTTTAAATAACAAAAAAATGACATATGGGCAAGAGTAAATTTACATAAATAATAATAAAGAAAAAAGAAGAATATAAAAAGTATGTATAAAATAATCTAATTTTAAGTAACATGTCTAAAGAAAATATTAAGTAACATGTCTATCTTCTATCTATATCGTCTATCTTCTATCTTCTATCTATATATCGGTTATTAGGTGACATGTCTAAAAAAAGATAATCCCGATATGCCACAGGTACCATATTTAGGGTTTTACATATTTTACAATGTTGGTTAAAACTGATCACAAAACCTTTCAAAATCTTCCACGACATCAGGGAGTTTGACCACGCTTGATAATTAAAAAACGCAGAAACTGTAATTTGTAAACTACGTATTTACAAATTACAGTTCCTGCGTTTCTAATTTTACAATACCCTACTGTAATGCTTTATGAGTAAATACAAAATACGTTGTTTGAAATATGATTTGACGTTCTGTTTCATACAATATACCACCAGCACACGTAGTGTAACAAACTCGAGAACATTTTATCTACATCCAAACGTCTTGTTTTTCGGTTGCGCCCGTTCGATATCTCACTCTCGACTTGAGAAAAGTGGTTTGGTGTAGACAAAGCATTTCTCGAGTTTGTCATGCTACCTGTACTGGTCTCACTAAACGTAGACTATAAATTGTCTGTTTTCTCACTGAAGATATATGTTTTCTTCTCCTTGTTGCCGGCTACTCTTAGCACGAGCAATATATGTAATGAAGTCTAATATTTAATTATTTATATTAATTATAACATTGAAGTTCTTATTTCTCAACAAGTCATACAATGATAGGGCAGAAAGTCCAATTTTGACAATTGCCCCCATGGCATTTTTCCTCACCTCTGCTGTGGTCGCGCCGCTCAGGCCCGACGCTGTTGCCCAGCACCGGCATGCCCGCCATACCGACTGTTACTGGCGTCTCTCCTTCATTTTATACCTGCCAACAAACATGAGTTCAAATAAAATGCGGTGAATTGACAAATCGCAAGTCAATGTAAATTAGAAAACTTTTTTCATTTCTCTTGCTTCATTATAGCGTAAAAAAATAAGCGTAGTAAATTTTGCCTAAACTTTTTTTATTTCATGTTTGTGACTATCGAGATGACAAAATAAGTATTTTAATCTTAAGTAAAATAAGTAAACTACGCATTACAATTTCATATATAGAAAGACATTTTCAAAAACAAAGAAATTTGTTTTTGAAAATTTAACTATATGCATTGATTCAGTGCATTCATGTGCATCGGGCCGGGGTTGTGGCAGATGGAAAGAGGATTGGCGCGAAATCTTTTCTTATTACAAATTCCATAGATAAATATAATTAATTACAAAGTTGAAATGTCATTCATTATCTAATAATAGGAATGCCGACTTATTTATTTGTTTGTGCGTCAAGTATGTTTGTTGAAAAATATTAAACAAGCATTTTATATTTTTATCGTAATCATTAAATTACGGCGATACATTGAATTAAAATGTCACATGACGTCACGCTTTGGCACATTTTCTACAAAATTGTGACGTAACGAGCCTAATGAAAAAAAATCAACTGTAATGCCTGTTATCGAAGCCATTTCTTGTTAAATTGAAGTAAAATAAATAAATACAATAAGCTCGGTGGCGTAGTGGATAAGCGCCGCGGCCCACGATCGTAGTCGTTAAGCAACTTTCGCAAGGGTCGGTCACGGGATGGGTGACCAAAAAAAATTACTATCTCGAGCTACTCCGTGCTTCGGAAGGCACGTTAAGCCGTTGGTCCCGGCTGCATTTGCAGTCGTCAATACCTTCCAATCCGCATTGGGCCAGCGTGGAGCCTGAGCCCCTGCAGTGGGGACGTAAAAGGGCTGATGATGATGATGATAAAAATAAATACGTATCTAATATTTTCTATTATGTGACTTTAATAACATAAGAATTTATTTTTATTTCCCCAGTCGTCAACCCTATTGTAAACCCTTTGCAGGAGAGTAACGAAAACAAAGACCAATAGCGCTAAAGACCCATTATAACACCGATTCTATTTACTACCGCATAAATGGATCATTTTAGCATTATGTATTTATATTCCTATTTTTTCAATGATTAAAAAAAAACAGCTGTTTTAGATAAAATGTTTAATATTTGTACGAAATAAATTAATATTAGTTATTTTTACGGGTAAAATATTGCAACACGTGCAATACGTGTGTGCACGTCTTCACTTCATTAAATTCAGGTATTCGATTCCTAAAAAGCCAGTTAGAAACTTCTGATCACATTATATGAAGAGTTTCATAAATTTGATGTCAGTCAGCCATGCGATTGATGACTGACTAGTCCAATATAAATGACATTTAATTTTCAAATAATCTGCTACGTTGCTACGGTTACTACGTGCTACAAGAATTCTGTCGTAGCTCGTAGTAACCAGCGCGAATCGAATTCGTATCGGGTATTAATTAGTACAGATCAGGGATCTTTCATATGCGAATATTGATGCGGATATGGAATTTTGTTACTTGTATTTGGTGCCAACTTCTGTAATATTTTTTGTGTATTAGAAATAATATTATTATATTAAATCTCTATGACTTCACTGAGCTAATTTCGTATAGTGATTTCTCTCTGCACTAATACATTCGATTGGATTGAGAGCCTCTTGAGGCTTGCTCGGGAAACTAGGAAAGTTTCGAGATGCCCTAGAACAATATCTTTAAGGTTTACGAAGTTTTAACTGAAAAGCGAGTTTTAATAATTTCTAATTAAAGCCACGCTTAGATTAATTTCATACTTTCTTGTAAAATGTTATTTTGTAAATTATTATGATACAGAAGAAATACTGAAGTTTAATCTAAAAAAAAAAACTTAATTTTAATATTAAATAAAAGTTTAATAATTAACGGCTCGATAAAAACCAAAATAGAAGCTCAGAATCTCTGCGTGTCTTCAAAAGAAATTTCTTGAATAAATTCGCTGTCTTTCAAGTAATAAAAATATTACTCAACTTTTTAATCGAACTCATAAAGGATAAATAACATTTATACAATTAGTACAGGCATTTATATCTGTTTGTTTGTTCACAAATTAGACATCGGATCGCAATGATATTTTTTGGTTGGATTAATATAGCTTACAACCTAAAGCTATTCTTTAAGTTTTTGTTGTGTTCTTTATAAGTTTAATCAGATCTGTTTAGTGAACTTGAAAATGTATACATCAAAACTTTAAAAAAAAGTTCAATCCAAGAAAATTTTAAAAAAGCTTCAAATTTTGCTTCAATGCATAATAAAAAAAAATAATTCATTAAACTGTATTGAGATCAATCGATTAATAAATAACTTCACAAGATTTTATTCAATAATGTTGTATACATTTTTAAATTGTTTGAAACTGATTCAGTCTTTTCATTTTTAAAGAAGTGCGTTAATAAACACTGAATATGAGGCGTACGAGGCGATGTGAAGGACAGGTACATAATAACCGAGTGAAAGGGACATAGAATGTAATGACATTTAAATCTAACGCAACAAACCCGAGGGAGAGCCTCACTTAGTAAGTAATCAATTATGTTCACACTCTGCTAAGGTTGTAGGGTTGTCGACTTAACACACAAACCCATTTGTTGGTTTCAAAATTGCTAATCGAATATTTTGTTTGAATTAACAAGACACGAACCTCTTAAAGCTGCCAGCGCAAAAAATCAAAATATGACTAGTTATTATGATATGCAGACTTATTTATTATTTTCTTGACTCTGTCTTATAAAACTTAAATAATTCATTTCAAACTAATTTAGTACATATGATTTTGTCAATTTAATACCAAAATATGCAAAGTTACTTTCATAAAATTCAACCTCATTTAATTTCTCGTTTTTGTAGTTAAGATTGATAAAATAAATAAATGTATACTTCATTCTGTAGTAGACATATGATATCGAACTAATAGTTATTGTATTAAATACTTTTTAACCTCATATGTATGCTCATAATAAAATACATAGATATACAGTGACGGCCCTAACAGTAGAGAGCTTCAATTAAAAAATATTGAAAGTTACCTCACATTACACATCGCTTAGTGAATTAAATTTCTCTGTCGACATGTTTCCAGCTATGAACATTCTATACACACACATAGATCACTTTTCACACGGAAGGTCGCAGTTGCGTTCATATTTTCATGTCAACAGCTTTCCGCTTTACCCACGTGGGTTATATGATACTCATAGCCCTATTTAACCGGTTTAGGGGTAGAATATACCATAATCGTTTCATAATGAACCTTTACGTCATAATAATTATTATTAATTTGTCAAATCCGTCCAGTTCAATAAAATATTTATTGAATCTTTATGTTGTGACAGCGCTATGCTCAACGTCATTTTTGAGGCTGTTTTAAATAGCATAGTTGTAACTAATAACCAGTTTTCAACAACTTTCTTATAAGACCCATCAGAATTTTAAGTATTCGAATAAAGAAAAATAAATAAAGAATTTCATAAAACGATTTACAATTCTTTATATTAAAAAATACAAAGTAGTCGAATGTACAAAAAGTTATAGGTTCAACTGATTATTTTTTTAAGTGGAAGTGTCTCCATTTTGATTTTACGTCACCCATCCCGTGACCGACCCTTGCAACTTTCGCAAGGGTCGGTCACGGGATGGGTGACCAAAAAATAATTGTTTTTATAAAAATATTGCCTTGAGGAAACAACGCAGTAGTCTGATGGATTCTTTGGAAATATATAGTGATAAATTATGTGAAAGTCGGCAGATGTATGACCGGGATACAAAAAAATTTCAATTTGAAATAAAAAAATTACATGAATCAATAGAATTAATACAAAATAAATATTTAGTTGCACAGTCTCAGATTGATGAGCATATTAGGTCTGCCACAGAGTTGGTTAACCTATGCAATTACAATGCTGACCGTTACCATTCACTGTTAAATAATAAACAATTAATTAACAAAACAAATAACAGCTTTAGTAACAATAACAATAATAATATTCAGAAACAATTTATAAATACAGTTACACAGAAACCCTGTCAGTCATCTGCCCACCAGTCACAACTGTTTACTCAGGTACCTGTTACTGATGACTGCTCCCCATCACAATTTTCCCAACGTCACAGAATAAATTCACAAAATTATAAAAATAATATTTTAATGTTCAGTGATGAAATTGGCAGAAACATGGGCCGTTTGCTATTCGATAAGGGCCATTCAACATTAAACTTCTGTATGCCTAATTCCTCTTTTAGTGATATTTTGGAAAAAGCAATTAAACAAAACTACAGCGAAAATACCACTTTATTGTTTTTTATTGGCAATAGAGGTACTTTGAACAAACATAAATTATTGAAATATATAAACGAATTAAATTCATTAAGTGTTGGGAAAGTCGTGATTTTTACGTTGCCGTATTCCAATAGTTTGTCCAATGAAGAAAATAATTTGCGATACAAATTGAATATGACATTGCACACTATATGCAATACTGCAAAGTTTCATGTCATTGACACTAACAAGTATGTTAGAAAATTTTATTTGACTAAAGATAAATATTATCTTTCCAATTATTATAAGAGACAAATAGCTATTTCGCTATCATATTTTTTTTCTATAACAGCCAAAAATTTGGCTAACCAGAGAGCTCCTATTGAGCACTCTTCTATTGACATGACTGTCAGTAATAATCCTACTGACATTGCGACAAATTCGTCTTTAAATTAGATACTAAGACAACAGAGGATTCCTCTTGCTTGCTATTGAATAGTCAAAGTAATAATGGAACCAAGAGTTTTTCAGTCATCAACCTAGTGCACCAAAATGTTCAAGGAATGTTGAGTAAAGAGTTAGAAGTGGAATTATTCATGAACTGTAACAATGTTGATTTTTTCTGTATTACGG